TATATATATACATGCATACATTTAATACATTTATTTATTTTCTTACCACTTATTGATCTGTTTTACGGGGGGAAAATGTGGATTTCTATTTTTTATTTTAATGAATTAGATGTATATTTTTAGTATTTCTGTATGTCTTTTGTGTATTTTCTAGGATTTCTTAAGTAAACCTTCATGGTTGTTGTTATTTGCGGATTCACTCGTGTTTTTATGTGCAGCAGGTTTATCTGATTTGTGCAGGATGTTGATTTACACACTGAAACAAAGTAAAGAAACAAACTCAGAAGAGAAGAATAAACAGAGAAGAGATGAAGGTCGGACTCACAAACTCGTCTTCGCCCCAGCCACCGACATCTGCTGCAGAGAAATGATCAGGTCAGCAGCTCACATCAACAGATGCGTTTTTACGTTTACTTTCTATTCAGCCACTTGAGTTAAGACCAGATAAGAAAAGAAGCCTTCACTGATCTCCACCAGGGAAAAGTCACACCAGACAGAATTATAATGTAATATAGTGATGATACTTCTAAATGGAATAAATATCAAAACAGAGGTGTTTCACTACCGACATGTTTCATCTGTGTTTTCATTGTGTTTGCTGTCAGTTGAGAGCTTCTTTGACACGTCGTGTTCTGAAACGTCCGAGTCCTGCTGAGTCACTTTGTTTTTCGTGATGCTCAGTGACTAAAGCTTATTTTATGGTAAAACACATTTAAAAATAAATAAATAAATACCTCCATCAAAACATTTCTCTGTTTAAAATCTTAACATGAAAATAATTTGTGCAGGATCCAGACATTCACTTGGACTTGATTCAGGACTTGACTTAGGACTTGTTGGTCTTCACTCACGACATCACTTGATTTAGGACTTGGCTCAGGACATGGGTGTTGACTCGGAACCTGACAGTCTTGACTTAGGACTGTGGTTGTATTGATTTCAGACTTGTTGACCTTTAATCAGGATTTAACTCGGGTTTTTCTGGTCTCAACTCGGGTTTGGCAGTCTTGACTTGGGGTTGCTGGTTGTAACTCATGACTTGCAGGTCTTCACGTAGGACTTGACTTCTTTATCTTGTTGGTCTCGACTCACATCTGGACTTCAGACTTGTTGGCTTTTCCTCGGATCTTGGGAGTCTTGATTGATGAGTTCACTTCGGACATGTTGGTCTTGACTCAGGTCTTGACTCCCTTGATTCAGTTCTTGACTGTCTTGACTTTGGACTTGACATAGGACTTAACTTGGGACTTGACGGTCTAAATTCAGGACTTGATTCAGGACTTGACAGACTTGATTCAGGATTTGACTTGGCAGTTTTAAGTCTTGACTCAGGACTTGATGTGGGTTTGACTTGGCACTTGTTGGTCTTGAATCAGGTCTGGACAGTCTTTACTTAGCATTTTGATTTCGTCGGTATCGACTTGGTCTCGACTCAGATCGGGACTTCAGATTTGTTGGCTTTACCTTGGATCTTGAGTGTCTTGATTAAGGAGTTCACTTCGGAGTTGTTGGTCTTGACTCAGATCTTGATGTGGGTCTTTCTGGTCGTGACTCAGTTTTGACTGTTCTGACTTGGGACATGTTGGTCTTGAATCAGGTCTGGGCAGTCTGTATTTAGCACCTAATTTGGGTTTTGTTGGTATCTACTCGTGTCTTGCAGGTCTCAACTCAGATCTGGACTTCAGACTTGTTGGCTTTACCTCGGATCTTGAGAGTCTTGATTGAAGACTTTACTTCAGACTTGTTGGTCTTAACTCAGGTCTTGATTTCCTTGATTCAGTTCTTGACTGTCTTGACTCAGGACTTGACATAGGACTTAGCTTGGAACTTGAAAGTTTCAATTCAGGACTTGATTCAGACTTGATATATACAGAATATATTACAGTGTATTGTGAGTACATTGAATATAATACACTATCAATATGCTAAAGAACTAAAAGAATACTTTAAAGCTTCAACATTTCGGTAAACTATCCCTTTGAGAAGGTTATTGATCAGGAAATAAAGTAAGCAAAGTTTTGTACCTGGTTCATGATGTTTGGTCGGCAGCCTGCGACGGACAGAAAAACACAAACAGTTTCAGAAACTGGATCAGAAAACCTGTTTTATTAGTAAAAATTGTCAAACTCAGCTATTTGAAGCTTTACAAACTGCTGCCCTGAAGGTTAAACTTGTAGGAAGGTGAACTTACACTATTTCAGACCAGCCTCGTTTCTTCTCCTTCTTACTGATTTCGCGGCTGATCTTGGTGATCATCCTGCAGACACATGAAGATCAATCAGACGATGTGTTCACACTGAAACCACTTCAGGACTACAACAATACATTTAGGACAAACTTGAATCATATAAACTGATGTGTAATCTGTGTCTTCTTCTTCAGGCTCAGAGCGCCAAAACATTCAGTCTGAAAAATTAAAGAGGCTCAGCTTTAATTGGGGCTGAGTTGAATGTGTGCATTCCAACAGCATGTTCAAAACAAGACAACAATGATCTAGTTTTATTCTTCAATTCATCTAAACATCCAAACGCTGATCCTGATGAGCAGAACTAAATATTGAGAATTATGAGATTAAACTGTCTGTGTTGTAATGACTGTAGTACTGATTGTAGAACTGACTGTAGTACTGACTGTAGTACTAACAGACTGCCTGCAGTACTGTGGTGCAGCAGTAGGGGGCAGTGAACTTACGGCACATGCAGTTTGGGGAACTTCTGAAGGTCATTATCAGTGAGATTCTGCAGAAACAAACAATACAGAAATCGTTACAGCCACGATTCGTACTGTCCTTCCTCACCTCCTTCTACCCTTTTTTATCTCTTCACCTCTTCTATCATTCACCTCCTACTATCCTTCCTCACCTCCTTCTGTCCTTCCCCGTCTCTTTCTATCATTCCTCATCTTCTTCTATCCTTCCTCGCCTCCTACTATCCTTCCTCAACTCCTACTTTGTTTCCTCACCT